GTGTGTGTCTATGTGTGCGCTGCGGAAGTACTCAAGTGCGCCGTGGCGCACAGAGTAACATACACACAGGCATAGTGAAGGAGTTACGGGGCGTCGAAAGGGTTCCAGGTTGTGACGCAGCACCTGCGGGAAGTAAAGAACTGCAGCCAGAGGCGAGGGAGAGGGCGGTAGCCAACCCGCTCGGCGGCTCGCCACGTGTCGAGTGCACCGACATGCGGGAGGCCGGGTGCGGGTCGCGCGCCGCGAAGGAAGTGCCTGCGCACGATGGGGCAGCTGCCGCCGCCGTGCGCGCGCCACCCGAGGAGGATCTCCAACGCGTGGTGGAGGCGACGCTGATGGAGGAGCATGCGTGTCTTGAGGGGCTAGAGGAGGCATTGAGGGAGGCGCGTCAGGTGCAGCTTTTGCTGCGTCAGGCGGAGTGTGAAGGCTCCGCACCGCCTGAGGATGGAACGGGGCCCACAAACGCTGCCGTGCCCCACGTGCAGGCGGGTGCGCACGCACACACACGGCCTGCGGGGAGCAGGGCGCAGCAGTGACGTCTGCAAGGGAGGCCTCGTCGGCCCCCATTGCGGGATGGCTGTGGAGCGTCGCGATGGCAGGCCGTTCCGTTTGTTTTTCGTATAGTGTGTGCCAGTGGGTAGTTGTTGCTGACGCCGGGCTCTCGTCACCTGCCCACTTTTCCCCTCTTTTTGTTTGTTTGCGTTGCAACGCCCCCCCCCTTTTTTCGCATGTGTGCGTGTGCGGCGTCGGCCTCGTGGCCCCGCCCACGTCGTGCAGAGGAGCTCCGGGGGGAGTTGCGTGGAGAAGAGAAATTTGTTTCGACCCTCCGTGGTTTTTTTTTCTTCATTTGTGTGTGTTTTGTTTGCAAGACATCGCAGGGCGAGTGGTGTCGCAGAGCGGGGGCGGGGGGCGGCGGCGAGGACGACGAAAATTGTCCCGAGCGAAGTGCGGCGGCCGAGGTGCGGCGGCGGCGGAAACGTTTTTTTTGTTTTGTTTTGCCTGCTTCTTCCTGCGGCCCCGTCTTGTGCGTGCGTGGGGGGACCCTGCGGCGGCGCATTTCTGCGTTTCTCCTCCTCCTCCTCCTCCTCCGTGCGTTGCTGCGATCCCCGCGCCGCCGGTGTGTGTGTGGGGCGCGGCAAACAAACGAAAGAAGTAAGTGCTGGATTGCGCAGCGACAAGCATAGCGATTGAGTTTACTGCGGCTGCTGGTTGCCTTTGGCGTCTGCGAGTGACTGGGCGAGAGCACACGACACACGCGGCACACACCAGCTCTGCGACCACTGCGGGGCGAAGCGGAGGGAAGATGCGGGACATGCGGCGTGCCATCGTGGCGGCGGCGCTGGCGTGCGTCCTCGTCGCCGCCGCCGTGTCTGCGGCGCCGGCGGGGCAGCGGGGGGCGGTGCAGGCGGGGCCCGCCAACGCCACCGTGAACTACCAGCGGGCCGCTTCCGCCAACCTCTCGCGTGGGGTCGGCGGCGGCCACGCCAAGGCGACCGAGCCCTCCCTCATGAGCGCCAAGTTCACGACGGGCCTCATTGTGTTCGCCTCCGCCTTGGGCTTCTGCTTCGCCATGTACTGGTGGTACGTAGTCTCTGAGATCAGCATCACGCCCGGGAAGGGGCAGAGCATCCGCAACTCCCTCCTGACGGAGGAGGTGATGCGCAACGTGTACGTGATCAACAGGCGCGTGTCGGAGGGCGCCACCGCGTTTCTCCTCGCGGAGTACCGCTACATGGGGCTCTTCCTGATGGCCTTCGGCGCCCTCATCTTCTTCCTCCTCGGCGTCGCGCTGTCGTCGCCGCAGGACGGCGGGAAGCCGGCGGCGACGCCGTGGGCGAACGCGGCGCTGTCGCTGTTTGCCTTCCTTACCGGCGCCCTGACCTCCGTCTTTGCGGGGTGGATCGGCATGCGCATTGCGGTGTACACCAACGCCCGCACCGCCGTCATGGCGACGGAGGGGTGCGACGACGGCGACCAGTCGGCCGGGTACGCCCTGGCGTTCCGGACGGCCTTCCGCGGCGGCATCACGATGGGGTTTGCGCTGACCTCCGCCGGCCTTTTCTCCCTCTTCGCCACGGTGAAGGTGGTGGAGGCGTACTTTGGCGACTCCGCGGAGAACGTGCGGGAGCTGTACGAGTGCGTGGCCGCCTTTGGTCTCGGCGGGTCGGCCGTGGCGTGCTTCGGCCGTGTCGGCGGCGGGATCTACACCAAGGCCGCCGACGTCGGCGCGGACCTCGTGGGGAAGGTGGAGAAGAACATCCCCGAGGACGACGCGCGCAACCCCGGCGTGATCGCCGACTGCATCGGGGACAACGTGGGCGACATTGCGGGGATGGGCTCGGACCTCTTCGGGAGCTTCGGCGAGGCCTCGTGCGCGGCGCTCGTCATTGCCGCCGGCTCGCTGGAGCTGTCGGGCGAGTTCACGTACATGATGTACCCGCTCCTCATCACGGCGGTGGGCCTGCTCGTCTGCATGTGCAGCGCCCTGATTGCGGCCAGCAGCGGCGGGGTGCAGCGGGCGGAGGACATTGAGCCGACGCTGAAGCGCCAGCTGCTCATCTCCACCGTGGCCGCCACCGTGGTGCTCACGTTCCTGACGGACTTTGCGCTGCCGGCGGAGTTTACGATTGTCGCAACGCACACGACGAAGTGGCGCGCGCTCGTCTGCGTGCTGTGCGGGCTGTGGTCCGGCCTCATCATCGGGTACACGACGGAGTACTACACCTCCAACGCCTGCCACCCCGTGCAGGAGCTCGCCGAGGCATGCGAGACGGGCGCCGCCACGAACATCATCTACGGCCTGTCCCTCGGCTACTTCTCTGTGGTGCCGCCCATCATTGCCATGTCCGTGACGATCTACACCTCCTACCACATGGCAGACTTGTACGGCTTCGCCCTCGCCGCCCTGGGCATTCTCTCCACCATGTCCATTGCCCTTACCATCGACGCGTACGGGCCCATCTCCGACAACGCCGGCGGCATTGCGGAGATGGCGCACATGGGCCACGAGATCCGCGAGATCACCGACGCGCTCGACGCCGCGGGCAACACCACCGCCGCCATTGGGAAGGGCTTCGCCATTGCGTCCGCCGCGTTTGTGGCGCTTGCCCTCTACGCCGCCTTTGTGTCCCGTGTGGGCATTCCCGTCATCAACATCCTTGACGCACGCGTGATGACCGGCCTGCTGCTTGGCGCGATGCTGCCGTACTTCTTCTCTGCGTTCACGATGAAGTCGGTGGGCGTGGCGGCGATGGACATGGTGAACGAGATCCGCCGGCAGTTCCAGAACCCGGCGGTGGCGGAGGGCGTGGAGGAGCCGGACTACGAGAGCTGCGTCGCCATTGCCACGCAGGCGGCGCTGCACCAGATGGTGGCCCCTGCCTGCCTCGTCATGCTGACGCCCATCGTGATCGGTGTGCTGTTTGGTCCCTACACCCTCGCGGGGCTGCTTCCCGGCGCCACCGTCTCCGGCGTGCAGGTGGCCATCTCCGCCTCCACCACCGGCGGGGCGTGGGACAACGCGAAGAAGTACATCGAGAAGGGCGGGCTGCGCGACAAGAACAAGGGGAAGGGCTCGCCGCAGCACGCGGCCGCCGTCATTGGCGACACCGTTGGCGACCCGCTGAAGGACACCTCCGGGCCCGCGCTGAACATTTTGATCAAACTGATGGCCATCATCTCCGTCGTCTTTGCGCCCGTCTTCGAGTCGCAGCTCGGCGGCATTTTGATGCGGTTCATTGGCTGAGCGCCGACCTCCGCGGCGCGAGTGGGCGGGGGCAGCAAAACGGACAAAAACGGGCGGGGCGTAGAGTAATTCGGGGAACCGTCGTGTTGTGCGGCGGCGGCGCCGGGGCGTTGGGAAACGAAAGGGCAAAAAAAAAGAAAGAGAAAAAACTGCAAAAGAGAAGAAGCAAAACGGGAAAAGACGACAGAGTGGAAAAACGGCGCCGAAACACAAAACATATGGGAGGAACAAAATAGTGGAGGGAAAAGAAAAAGGGGAAAAGGTGCGTGCGGCGCAAACGGCGCAGCGAATAAACGCGCGTGCGGTGAACGGCCCTCCCCCCACGGCCTGCCCTTTGGCGCACTTTGCCGCGGAGGCGTCCCATGCCCCCCCCTCCCCCTCACTCACTCTTGCTCTCTCTCTCTCTCTCTCTGTGTGTCTGTGTGTGCGCTGCGGAAGTACTCAAGTGCGCCGTGGCGCACAGAGTAACATACACACAGGCATAGTGAAGGAGTTACGGGGCGTCGAAAGGGTTCCAGGTTGTGACGCAGCACCTGCGGGAAGTAAAGAACTGCAGCCAGAGGCGAGGGAGAGGGCGGTAGCCAACCCGCTCGGCGGCTCGCCACGTGTCGAGTGCACCGACATGCGGGAGGCCGGGTGCGGGTCGCGCGCCGCGAAGGAAGTGCCTGCGCACGATGGGGCAGCTGCCGCCGCCGTGCGCGCGCCACCCGAGGAGGATCTCCAACGCGTGGTGGAGGCGACGCTGATGGAGGAGCATGCGTGTCTTGAGGGGCTAGAGGAGGCATTGAGGGAGGCGCGTCAGGTGCAGCTTTTGCTGCGTCAGGCGGAGTGTGAAGGCTCCGCACCGCCTGAGGATGGAACGGGGCCCACAA